GAGAAAGGACCTTACTTCATAGGCCAGACTGGCTTACAACTCACTATATGATCCAGGCTAGCCTTAAATACACACTTCTCCTTACTCAGTCTCCTAAGTGCTAGGATTACAGGCGTATACTACCCACACCTGGCTTAAAAAGCACATGTAGGGGCTGGAGAGACAGCTCAGCGGTTAAGAGCATTGATTGCTCTTGCAGAGGACCCAGGTTCGATTCCCTGCACCCACATGGCGGCTACAAACCGTCCTTAACTCCAGTTCCAGGGAAATCCAAAGCCCTCTTCTGACCTCCACGGCATTGCGCAACACGGGTGCACTCACATACATGCAGGCAATACACTCGCACACATAAAAAATAATTTTTAAAAAAGCACATGTAACAGTCAGGGAGTACACATTAACTCATGAATGGATTAATAAGATCTAGGACATACATATAATGGTATTTTATTCAGCCATATAAAAGAATGAAATACAAATGGACCAGCCTAAACACTGTGCAAGGAGAAACAAGGCACATATCACAAAGGTCACATAATAAGACTCCATATTTGTGAAAACAGACTGCCTAAGGTTAGAAGGTTAAGGGAAAAAGGGGAGTGTCTGTTAATGGGCAAGGAGTTTCTTTGGAAGTGATAAAATGTCACATCTTGGGGCTGGAGAGATGGCGCAGCAGTTAAAAGCAGTGGCTATTCTTGCAGAGGATCCAGTTCTATACCCAGTGCCCACATGCCAGCTAACAACCATTCATAGTTCCAGTTCCAGGGGATCTGACACCCTCTTCTGACCTCTGTGGGCATTGTATGACATATATGCAGGCAGTACATTCATACACATTAAATTTAAAAATATAATAAAAATTTTTTTAAAGATTTAAAAATGTGTAAAACTGATTGTGGTAATGGTACCAAAACTCTGAAAAATTTCAACCAATTAATAGGGCATTTTTAGGTGAATTGTATAATAACGTGAATTATATTTTAACAAAGGTGCTATACGAAAAATAAAAGCATATATATAATATGATTCCATTTTGTGAGAAAACATTTTTATTATTTTTATGTTTATGAATGTATTGCCTGCATGTATGTAAGTACATCTGTATCGTGCAATGTCTGTGGAAGTCAAAGCCGGCATCAGATTCCCCTGGAACTGGAGTTATGGACAGTTGTTAACCACCATGTGGGTGCTGGGAATTGAACTTGGGTCCTCTGTAAGAGCAGCCAGTGCTCTTAATCACTGAGCCATCTCTCCAGCCCCAAGAAAACTTTTTTTTACCCCTAGTTGAGAAGCTATTGGCAACTGATGGCTGCTGGGGAGGAAGTCACTTTTCTTTAGGGGTGTGATCACTGGTGGTCTGCCCAAGTCCCAGTGGATGGCCCCACACCTAGCACATACAGGTAGCACTAGTTGGACTCAGTGGGTCATGGGAAAACAAAAAGGACATGAAGTTGGGAGGGTGAGATCTGTCAGAAGGGGCCTGAGGGAGTTACAGGAGTAAGCACAGAGCGGATCTAATCAAGACACATTGCATACATGTATGAAATTTTCCAAAAAATAATTTAAAAAAAAGAAACTTTAGGGGCTGGAGAGATGGTTCAGTGGTTAAGAGCACTGGCTGCTCTTGCAGAGGACCCGGGTTTGATTCCAAGCAACCACATGGAGGCTAACAACCATCCATAATTCCAGGTCCAGGGGAATCTAAAACCTTCTTCTGACCTCACAGGCATTGCATGGCACGGGTGCACTTACATACATGCAGACAATAAACTCATACACATAAAATAAAAATATTTTAATAAAAGAATCTTTAGTTTTACTCATATATACTCAGGAAAAAAAAATCTAGAGCCAGGCATACTGGTCTATGCTTACTGTCTACAATCTTAGAACTCAGGAGGCTGAGGAAGGAAAATCACTAGTTTGAGACCAGCCTGGGCAATACCCTGAGACCTCATCTCAAAAAAACAAACAATAAAAACCAGGTACACCTCCCTCTGCTTCCCTGGGCCTGCACGACCTGCCAGCCTCTCTCCAACCCACAGGCCTCTCTCCCTCAATTGACAAGTGGATAATGAAAATGTGGTTCATTTATATGATGGAGTTTTACTCAGCAGTAAAGAAAGATGAAATCATGAAATTTGCAGGTAAATGGATGGAACTAGAAACTGTTATACTAAGTAACAGACTCAGAAAAAAAACTGACATATGTTCTCCCTCATATGTGGAGCCTACAACCAAACCCTGATAAGTGAGTATGTATGAGTATGTAG